AAGCCAAAAGTTTCCTCGCTCTGCCAAGCTGTCTGTTCAAGGACAGCAATTCCTAAATTGCAGATTTTACTTGCATGTGAATTTCAGGTGTCTGTTTTATAAAGGTGGCTTTGATTTTGGAGGGTTCTTAACCGAATTTGGAGAGGTTCCAGCTGAAGCAGAGTGTAAGCCCAGAGCTGCTGAAGTGACAGAGCTGCCTCACAAAGTAAATCTTTGCCCAGCCACACACCCAGATAGGAAAGGGCATTCTTGCTCTTTTTTCTGCAGGCTGCTTCTTCTGCCTTCCCTCCCCTGAGGCTCCTTGATGAGTTCCCCTCTCCTCCCCCGGGACGTGGTGAAGCGGATGCCACAGAACAGGTTTGGAACCAGTCAGCCCATGTTATGCAGGTTGGATTACAGGAAGAGGAGCAGCAGTTCTACTGCGTGTTCTTTCTCACAGTGGGGTGAATAAGAGCCTCTTGCACACCCCTGGAGATCACCTTGTAGGAGGAAATGGGACATCTTTTACATGTTGGTGTTATTAAACAGTGAACTGGAGAAATTGCTCTAGGAAAGTCCCTTTCTTATGTATTCATTTTTATCTGCTACCCCTGCAAGTGGCTTGTTGTGTATGTAATGGAATGCAGCCCTTTAGACAGTTGTACTAATTGTGGCAGATTAGGTTAAATTTTAAACCCTCTGTAAAGGCAAAAATGATCCAAGTTTGAAACTACTGAGCCAGTTGTAATGTGTTTGATCAGTCTGAAGTGTGTAATGGCCAAACAGTGGGGAAGGCTGCACCAAAGGGGACTTGCAGTCCTGGCAGGGAGCAGTCCAGAAGACAAGCTTGGGTGAGCTGCTTATCAGATTGTTACAGCCCATTAGTTAAAGGAGGGAAAGGTCTCCCAAAGAAGGCAGAAGGAAATCCCAGTGTGTGTTATTTCATCTATCTCTCTCGTATTTGCTGCTCATGAATATGTAAACCTTTTGTATTTTACATTTTTGATGTCTATTTATTGATAAATTATTTTATGTTAAAGTCTAGCATTTGATTTCTTTTTAATAACCCTGAAACTAAGGGTGTTGGTTTTTATCCTGGTACAGTTTTGTAAATCTTGATAGAACAGAAGGCCCCATAACTTTCCAATCTGTTAAGTAACTTACTGCTGCAATTGATTCATAAATGCATGAGAAGAAGATAAGATTTCTAGCTTAGAAATCTGGTTTAAATGTTTGATCTAAAAAAATAACTCCACAAACTGTTTTTCCAATAGCCTACAAATAAAAATGCAGTCATTTGGATTATTTACTGATGTTTATGGAGGTCATTTTGCACAGTGCTGTGGGTGGTTGGGTCTGATTCATTAAAACAAGCTAATAAAGTTATTCTCAGCTCCCAGACCGAAGCTTGTCTCCACAGACTCCACATGTGAAGGAAACCAGTGCTCTCTTAGGAACTGTACTCTTCATCTCAACCCACTCAGTCTTGGACCTAAAAATTCCCTCTGGCATCAGCCCTGGGTCTGTTGATTGTTAATCACAGCCAGCATGCCCTGGGATGGTAAGAAAGGGAGCCAGTCACGCTGCTTTCTCAGGTATTCTGCTTGTAGCAAGTCGTTTGCCTTTGTTTTCCTCTGGAATTAGAACTTTTAAAGATGATTAAAGCATTGCAGGGTAATCTTCTATTTGCAGTTTGGCTGTTAAAAATGAACCAAAAATTTCTTAATCAACATCTATCTTGTCATCAGCACTATAGGAAAGCAAATACGTTTTCACAGTCAATGAGCAAGGAACAGATGAGCTGTTAGATCTGTGTTTGTGCAGTACTTCAATATTATCAGGTTTATTGATGCATCAGAGTCTTTCCAGTGGGATGTAATGAACAGAGCCATGAGAGTGAGGAATGTGTTGTGTCATGACAGTGGGGCTGGGCAGAGCAAAGCTGAACTGAATGGAACAGCACTGGATGTTGAAATTGAAAATGCTAAAAGCCATTTAACCTTTTAAGAATGTATTATTTACTTCCTAAAGGGTTCCCCAAATTGAAGGGGCTTCAGAAATTAGAAAAAGGAAGAAGAACCAAAAGAGGAGAAACCTCACACACGATATTTTTGCTTCTAAGTACCTGCAGCTTTCTAATAATCTGTTTTGTTACATAATTCTTAGCTGGCCAGTGATATGTACCTGGGCTTGAGGGTGCACTGTTTTGCTGCGGACTATAAAATTTAGAATTGTGCCATTTTCTATCTGTCTGTATTTCTGTAATAATAAAATTGCCACGTGAGGTACGCAGTTACAGTCTGCATATGAAACAGTGTGGGACAGAAGACCCAAACAATGAGATTTTTGGAGCTTATGTATGAATGTTTATACATTTAGAAGCATTAATGGATATTTTCTGATTGCAAAGAACATTGCCTCAGCTCATAAAAGCGGTGATGAGACATCACCTGCATGTGTAGAGGAAACAGTGGAGTTCTCAAAGCAGTTTTGAGTGGACAGCAGCTCAGTTTCCTATAGGTGAAGCATGAAATCCTCCAGTAATGTAATTGGCAATATTCAGTGATTCCCTGGTTTGTTGGTATTTAACCTTTTAGAGGCATAAGGTTGCAGTTCTGCAGGTATATATGTGTATTACATGCAGACACTCAGGTTTAAGGTCTCTTGAGTCCATCAGCTGACCCTAAACTAGAATACCTTTTCATTTTATTTTCTTATTGAAGCACTGGAGGCAAAGGATGCCACAAAGTCTTATGCTGAACATGCTGTCAACTTTTGATAGAGATTCATTGACTCATTCTCTGCATTTTCAGTAAAATCTGATCATCCTCTCCTGTCAGATGATTCACCATATTTTTAGAAATTTGTTTATCAAAGAGCTGCTTCCTCTACTCAATGGCTTTTGGATGGATTCCTGCTGACCTGCTGCTCTTACGTTTGGAACCTATGCTCTGTTTTCAAAACATCCTCGTCTTTACGAGGGCTTTGGAGTTAATGTGCAGTGCAGCAAGCAAAATTGCCTTTCATTCAGCTAGCTCCTCTCAGTGTGCAAGTGTATGGACAGTGAGTGGTGTCCCTGCACCACCTGGGAAGGGATAACCCTGGCAGCTGAAGATTCCCATGTTAAAACCCAGCTGCTAATATGAACAGAGATAGGCTAAACCGTGGTGCTTTGCTATTCACTGTAATCAGGCCATGTGTCCTGCCAGCAACATACTTGTTTTTATTAAGCAAGCTTGTCTGGAGAGTATTACAGGACTCACCAGAATGCAGCTGCAAAATCCTTGTAATTTTATCAAGCACATTACACTAGCAATGGCAAGAGCCTTATATCCAGTAGTAGATCCTGCCAAAGATACACATGACTAAAACCTTCCTCCTTTCCCTAAAATGATCCCACTTTTTAAGTCTTTCATAGCATAGTCAGAACTCTTATCTCCAGATTACTCAACAACTGTGCAACTCAATAGCTAGAGAATGGTTCTGAATTATGAATGAATGCTTTGTTTAAAATCCAGTAGCTTTTTTTTTTTTTTTTTTTTTTTTTTTTGTGTAAAAGCTTCTCTGACTTCTCTGCTCAGACTTTTCCAGAGTGCGGAATTGTATCTTCAGAGAAATCTGAAGAAATCTGAATTGTAATCTTGATAGTGATTGTGAACTTTAACTTTATAATCCTCACTTGGAAATGTAGTGATGATGTATAGGTACAGCAGTAAACTGGAACAGGAAACAAGGAGCAGAAGGGATTAGGGTAGAGATTGAAAAACCTCTAGGGAAGGACAAGGTTAGGCTAATGGTGAGGGATGTGGTAAGAGACCTGCTGGATCAGGGCTTTGCACGGATTGGGAGCCAGTGAGGAAAGTACTCACTGTGCTTCTCCCTGGTCCCCCTAGGATCAGGGGAAGCCACCAGTGACTGTATGGACAACTGGCAGTGTGCCTGTGACACACATGGATATAGCTACAGCTACCCTTCCTGCAGGCCCCTGGGGCTGGCGCTGGTGAGAACAGCAGTCAGGGTGCCTTGCAAGAGCAGGGCAGTTCAGATGTCTTCAGCCATTAAACACATCTCCATCTCCCCCCACCCCCCAGGTGGGTTTGTAGGGTTTTTTTCCATTTAGCAGATGTCCTGTTGGAGAAGGATGTTGTCCTCAAATTGATGTCCTGCATTCCTAAAGCCATTTTCATGCTCTGGGTGAATGATGTATACTATACCGCTAATATACACTGTGATCAGCTATTTTAACCGGCTAATAGGACTATTTTTATAAATGTGAATTGATACTTTTCTCCCAAAGCCCCACTGGCATTTAAAAGCTGGCTCTTGTGTATTTAAGTACTACTGTTTATGCTAAGCATGGAACAATCATTGGTCAAACCTTGTAAAGTTATAAGTAGCTTTAAAGTTGAAATCTTTGAACAGTAGTGATACTGTCCTTTATTTAATACAGAATTACTCACTGAGGTCTGTCCTTCATTATTACAGTTGTCTGAGTTTTGTAATATCTTGATTTCTTCAGTAAAACCAGTCAAGCTTTTTCCAGTGTAGGTTTCTTCTGCCCCTTATTGCCTCTTCTAGGAACCTGCTCTTTTGTGATCTCAAACAGTGCAATATCAGAGTTGTTAGTGATTGTGATTGCTATCTCAGTCTTCATATTTCTAGTCTTCTGCCACACCAATCCTGATTTCCCTACTCCTGTTGTGGATAAGTCCCTTTGCAGGGGCAGAAAAGGAAGCAAAGCTGCTGTTTGCACAAGGTAAGGAGGATGGGTAGGAGAGGATGTAAGGGGTTGACCTAGGGAAGATGTGCCCCAGGGTGGGGAGAGCTGTCTGGATAAGAAACAGGAGAGAGGAGAGATCTTTGCCGTGCTGAGCCTCCCCCAGACCTCACTGACACCACGTCCAACCATCACGCCAGGGTTGGAGGTGTGTGGCCAGGACTCGGATTTCTGGTGCCAGGCAGAGGAATGCTCTTCCCTGGCCATGGCCCTGGTGTTAACCATGTTGCTTTGTTTACTCTAGATACACTTTATACTGCTGTTCAGTCGGCAGGGGAAGTTAAGGCTTCAGAAATGGTACACGACTCTACCTGATAAAGAGAAGAAAAAGATCATTCGAGAAATTATTCAGATTATTTTGTCTCGCAATCAAAAAACAAGTAGTTTTGTTGACTGGAAAGACCTCAAGCTTGTTTACAAAAGGTGTGAGTAATTTTGTAAGAACGTATAATCACTAATCATATTAATAACTCATGCTAGAAGAGGAAAAAGAAAGGCTCACTTAAGGAAAAGCAGCAAACAACACTAATAGCGCTGGGCTGAGTTAGGAGCCTGCCACTGGCAATCTGGGTATAACAAGGCAGTGTACCTGGACAAACCAGCAGGGTAATTGTGGGGTGGAAAATACTGGTCAAATGAGAAAAACAGGAGTAACCTAATGGGTATGGGTGTTCAGAAGGCATTAGATCTCCCTGCCCCTTCAAATTCCACAGGGTAGCCTGGCTGAGATGTGTGTGTTGGGTTTTATCAGCTGTGGAGATTGGAGGAACTGTTCCAAGGCACTTTCATAATTCTGTCAAATTTTGTTTTTGAAACATTTGTTGCTCTGGAAAGTATTAATTCTCATTTCCTTTTGCAAAGAAATCATTGGTCCCCAGTTACACGACAGCTAATGTTAACTGCCTGTTTGTTCTTCTAAAGTTGTAGCAAGCAAATGTAGCCTTAATGTGTAGTACACTGGGTAAATGAATCATCTCCCATTTAGCAAAAACTGAGTTTCATGCTGTGATGAGATGGATATAAATATGTTATCAGAAGCTGTGACAAGTTGGCCTCCAGCCACAGTATCAGCAAGCTGAATAGATCTTGGGTTGGTTTAAACATAAAATTTTGGTGCAAGTTAGTTACAAAGCTTCTTTGGTCTAAGTAGCTTCATGCATTCTGGCCCCCTGTAAAACACTGTCATTTGACAGCCAGCAGGCTTACTGAGATGTAACTTCTTTCATCTTTGCCTTATTTTTATTTTTTAATTAGAAGGGTTAGGTTCTCCTACGGTTTAATTAACCCCACTTGCTGTAGTGCTGTTTGTTTAAATCATCTGAACTTCAAAAATGTTCTCTGGGACACTGTAACAGGGAAAGAAAATGTTTATTTTAGAGACTAGGTAAGAATTAACTGTCATATGAATGACGTGTAAGAGATGAACAGAGCGCTGAGCTGTTCACTGCCATGGTTTTGCCTGTTTTTGCCTGTTTCCCCAGGTATGCTAGTTTGTATTTCTGCTGTGCAATAGAAGACCAGGATAACGAGCTTCTGACACTAGAGGTCGTTCATCGATACGTGGAGCTCCTGGACAGATACTTTGGAAACGTAGGTTTCACTTTCTCCCATGAACTCATTCCTGTCTGTCTGATAAACAAAATTATGTGGAGCTTATTTGCTTTGTGTTCCATCTGCTGCACTTGCCCTGCAGGAGCTCTCAATCCAGAATGAAATTAATTATTAGAGTATTTTATAAAACAGTGCTGAAATGGTCGTAAGATTGTTTTTCCATCCTTTTTCCACTTGACCAGAATAAATCTTGATGCTTTGTATGTCTGTCTTGGTACAGAATTTGAGGGGAAAGGTTCAGGAAAAATTATTTCAAAAACTCAAAACAGGTGAAAGTACTTTAATTCTCTCTCCTGACATCTTCAGATGTACTGGTTTTGTGTGTCTCATACTACTGTGTAACAATTAAGGACATAGAGGCAAAAGATAAAATCAGTGTGTTTTTAAAGAAAAGATACAGAGAAGGTCCAAATAAGTCTTTCAGTAAGTCTTTAGAGAATATAATAGACCCATCTTTTCTCTGAACATTTTTGAAACTTTCCTGCCTGCCTTAATTCATATCTTAGTTAAATCAGTGTGCCATGACATGTCTGTACTGCCTCAAAACTAAAAAGCAGTTGGTGGCTGTTGCTGGGCAGGGAATTGTCTTGCTCTGTGAAACTGTGAACCTAGGTAACCCACATTACAGGGGTTGTGTAGGACCTGTGATAAGGTTAGTGGGCCAGGAAGTCAGCTTGGATCTCTGACAACCAACATGAACTTAATAATAAGTGGAATGTCTTTGCTGTAAGTCAGTATATGTGGAGAGAACATATACAGAAGCTTCAATATTACATAACATAACCTCGCTACCTGCCACAAGGGTGCTTATGCTGAGGATATTTGATCATCACAACAGCTTTTAGCCTAGTAGTGCTTACAATAATGTAAACATGGTTTAAACATGGTTGTGGCCTCTTGTTCTGGCAGGTATGCGAGCTGGATATTATTTTTAATTTTGAAAAAGCTTATTTTATTCTTGATGAGTTTATAATTGGTGGAGAAGTACAAGAGACTTCAAAGAAGACTGCAGTGAAAGCCATAGAAGACTCTGACATGTTGCAGGAGGTAAGGCAGAGGAGGACAAAAGGCAAACACCTCATCTTCATACATCTTCTTTGTTTGACAGGAGATGAAAACACAGCTAAGCACTTCTGGTACTTAAATTATCCAAGTGTGTCTTACATTGTTTCAACAGGAACAACAGTGCAGTTACATGAGCTTTCAATTCAACCCTTTTGGTATCATCTGGAGGGTTTTTCATAAAGCTGTTGCTCTCTTGCAGCTTAACTGCTAGTTTATTAAGAAATAGTTTAAGATGTATCTAAGATACTTCTTTAATATAAGAACATAATCTAAGTTTATATTTTATGTGTGCATATGTATATGTAAATACAGAAAAATCTATTTCACTAATAGCATTGGAAACATGAGCTACTATTAACATTTAAAATTGGAAAGAGTATGTGCTGGCAAACTCTGCTTTCATTCAGAAGCACCTGTGCAGTTTTTCTGCAGGGCACAGATATATAACCCTTATTCAGAACCCTGCAGGAATTCTCTTGTAACTTGGAATGTAATGAGTAACATTGAGCCAGGGATGGCAAAAACAGTTGGATGTGATGGGTTTCATTCATTTTTTTCCCTTGGTAGTGAAGGATCCATCACAATCCTGAAGAGAGAGCAGTACAGTGGTAGAACTGGCTTGGGCTGTGCTGTGGGAGTTGAGCAGGTTTGACCTGCTCTGCCCTGTGCACATGGAACTCAGCCACTGTGTGCAAAGGCCACTGGTGTGATGAGTTTAGCCACAGCTGTGCTATGGCATGATTTAAATGTCAGATTTCCATAATGCATCTGGTTTTTGTTTTGTTTTGTTTTGTTTTGTTTTCTAGACAGTGGAAGAATACATGAACAAGCCTGCATTTTAATGTTAAACTACCTGGAGAGAAAACTGCTGTATGCACCTCTAAAGTGCACTTTCTGAAATTCTTCCCAGTGTGCCAGATCCTCAGAGGAATACCAAAAACCAATAACTGAAGGGGTTTGTTTGTATAATGGTGAAGATGAAGGTCAGCTCATGTAGCAAAGGGTTTAACAATTCTGTGTTTGCATTACTCTGTATATGAGTTTTCTCAGAGTTGTTACTGCCCCAGTCTAGTTTCTCTTCTTGTTGCTGGAGTCAGCTCTTGTTTTGTACCATGTCTTTTAGTGCTTTGTCATCACAAGATGCTCCTCTGACAATACTTTGAAGAGGTATTTCTACTAGTTTTGTTCGCTGCTGACTGTATGACTCTACTTTTGTACAAATATCCATTATTTTGAATGTAACGGTTATTCTGCTGTAATAATAATTTTTTTCTAAAAGCCAAATTGTTGTGGGCCCTGATTTCACAAACTTCTTGTGACAAGATTAACTGTTCAAGTATATGAGGAAATACGTGTCTCTTTGGGGCAGCTCCTTTCTTTCAATGTCCTCCTTCTCTTTTCTGCTCTAGTCTGCTAATAAGACTGCTACAACTGCTCCTAGAGTGCACTCCATGCCTCCTTTCAATCTGGAAGACTGTTGGAAGGTAGGCTTCTACTAAGTTTATGAAGCCTTTTTTTGCTGCTGCATGCAGATCACCTGTTTGTGTCTTTCTCCTCATTTTCCTAGCCCCTTCCAAGATCCCTTGGACCTCTCCAAAGGCTCCAGACTTTGAAGTTGTGTAGCATGAGTGCAGGAAAAAACCTGAAGAGAAAAAAAATCAGCCCGTGGAAGATAATCTTGTGTATCTTTTTGTATCCCAAACCCATATTTCCCAGTAGAGTTTTCCAGTCTCAAATTCATGCACCTGTTGGGATGATCAGCTTTCTAGTAGTTGAAGATACACTGTTTTTTGAAGGTTGAGCAATTTAATCAGCTTTTTATAACTTTGCAAGCTGTGAAAAGGATAAGATAGTAGAGAGGAGTCAGCTGGGCTCTGTGCCCTCCTGTGTGTTACAAACCATTGCAGCGGAGTGTGTGTGCAGCCAGGTGTGCTAACTCACCACTCAGTGCAGTTTAGACTCTGTGAACTGATTGAACTGGCTTCCTTAGAGAGATTGTCCTGCCTTAACAGAATCCAAAACTCAGAGAAATTCTGTTTATCTGAGCCCATAACTCTCAGCTAGACGTTTTGTTTCTGTCAAATCATGAAATTAAACAAAAATTAGGGAAGTTATCAGACAAATATGCCACAATGATCCAAGCATTGTTGTCTTTCCCTTCAATATGTACATTCCCTTTGATTTCTGGCATGTACAATCAATATTTTCTTTCAGAGGTCTTTCTAATCTTTAAATGTCCTGAATGCTTACTCTGATTTTGTCTTTGCTCCCTCCTTCCTCATCAGTTTGTATATTCCTACGGGAGGGACAATGGGGTTTTTTGGAAAGTGGGGGCACTTTGACACAACACAACTTTACTGATTGTCAGCCCACTATTCTGCCTGTGCTTTCCAGTCTGTTAGTAAAAGTGTGACAAACTGGTTCATAGCATCATGTTGCTCCTTTTTATAATTACTTTATCCATCTGTTTTCTCTGTATTGATGTCAAAGGCATACTTTCAGCCTGGAAAAGACAGTGAGAATTGCTGAAGGGCCTTTTAATAGCTCTGAAGATGTCAAATTTAATAGCAAATTAATGAAATTGTATGATATGTATATTTTCTCATGGTTTGAAATTAAGCTTTTTAAAGTACAGTGTTTAATTGATTAAGAAATCACTTCAGAGTGTGCTAAGAGGCTCCTTCTGCTCTTTGCCTTTATAAGTGACTTCTGCTAACTGAAATCATCAGTAGTTTGATTTTACTCCCCTTTGGAGCCATGCTGTGATTCTCTGACTCTTAAAACTGTCATGTTGGTTAATTCTGAATTAGATCAAAATAGGAGTACCAAAAAGATTTCTTGGTACAAATAAGGGTATCATAAGCCTATCTTTTCAGTCATTTTAAGACAAGCTAGAAGGCTTTTTTCTGCATCATTTCAAGTTGAAGAGAATTCCTGATGGAAACTGGGTAGAGGTACTTATACCAGCCATATCAGTGTAGCATCTAAAATAAAAAACATTGCCAAACTGGTGTATCCAGTGTCAGCTTGAGGAGTGTGAAGGAATTAGTCTGGTGAGTGTAAAGGATTTAGTCTGGTTTCCTTACCCTAATGCAAAAATTCATTGGAATATGGTGTGCCTGTTGTGCCACCTGCCTCTGTGCTACAAAGACAAATGGAAAGCATGTTAAGTACTCTAAAAGAACTGCTGAATTATGTTCATGCTTCAAGAAACTTCTACAGAATGCTGCTGCTTTTGTGTGTAGGAGAGCTCCACAAAGCAGGCAGGTGAGCCTTAACTGATGTGACTTTTGCCTGCATACTGAAAAACAGATGGGTTTGAAACATAAACTTGTATTTAAACTTTCTACAACCTTCATTGTGAAAGGGATCACTCAGGTAAGTCATGTAATGGAATTCAGTTCAACTCAGGTCTTTCTCCAAAGGGAAGAGGCCCAAATGAAACCCACTCGTGGGGTCACCTTTAGGTTGCTGTCAGACTGCACGTGTTCTCATCTTTGTGAACTTGATTGCCACTAACAGAACCCTACACAGGTTAGTATACTGCAGTGCCTAGCTCACCAGAAGATTTCTGTCTCCTGATGTCTTAGTTCCATGATTTGTCTTGGTGCATATATCTTCTTGTGCATGTTCACTAATGTCTGAAGCATTGCCATTTATATTTGCTGTTGATGTTTATCTTTCCAACTTGCCCGACTATCCTAGGCATGCTCAATGTAAAGTTTTCTGAGAAACTTTATGAAGTTATTATCCAAAAAACTATTAGCAAGCTCCTTAAATATTCCCCATCTCATCATCTTCTGCCATTACCTAAACTCTCACCTTGCTGACAAGCTTCCAGCACATGTCCTAGTTTGCAAAATTGCATTTACTAAAATAACCATTAATCATAGTCATGGTCCTAGCCTAGATTCCCTTCCTTGCTCTCACCAGCTGCATGTAACAAAAAGCTGCTTGATTTTCATGTGAGCATCTCTGCCTGGAGGATTCTTAGTGTGATCTTGCTGCTCTGTGGTTGGGACAGAGCTGCTTCTCTGTCTATTTGCAGCACGTGAGTTGAGACACCTCTGAACATACCATGGCAGAAGAGACAAATATTAGATGGGGATAAAAGTAATTGTAATAATGTCAAAAGTAATAGAAATGTGACAAATCATTGTAAGAGGTAAGAGCAGCAGGATCGCACAGATTAATTAATTTTTATAATTTTTGTTTCTTTTCTCATTGTAAATTTCTGAGTGTTCATTAAAAGGTGTCAATTCTTGCAAATAATTTTAAAAAACTGACATTCAGGTTGCCTCCTATCAGCTTTTGTTTAACCAGGAGCCACTGAATGTCTTCAATACCTTCCCCAGCTGCTCCTGCAACTTGCCTGTGCTTTCAGAAACCCCAGTGGGAAACTCAAGGTAAAGTTCAGGGGTGATTCTGCATCTGAATTTTCCTTGGACAGAATAATATACTTACAAAAGAGTGAATTACTATTTTTTCCTTTATTTCACAGTCCTTTCAATAGAGAACATATTTTTATCATCTGCTTAGCACTGTGCTGCTTTGGAGTAATGGAGCATGCAGAACCAGTATGGGAGGTGTTGGGTGGGGCTGGCTTATAAGGGAAGATCAGAGTGTAAGTGTGAGTGGGGCTTTCAAAGACACCTAGAGATGTTCAGTCCACAGTCCCCTCAAAATAACAAGGCAGTTCCAGGGAGAGAGAACTCCCATCCCTGCCTGTGCATGACGCTCTGTTCCACTGCAAGTGCGTTTGGAGTATTTCTGTCAGCACAGCTCCTGTGAGGGGGATGCTGCTCTCACCCTGCCTGAGATGACTAAACCCAAAGGTCTCAGTTCTGCAGCTGATCCATGTGGTAAGGTCTTGATTAACTTTATCCTGTGTCTTTATGAGCATGGAGTCTGCATCATCCTCCTGCATCACTGGATTTCAGGTTTAGAGGGCTGGCAGGACTCTGAGCTCAGGCCAGGTAACAGTGTCCTGGGGGAGCTGACAGCACTCCTGCTGTGTTCAGTAGTGTGCGTGTTCCTTGGCAGGATCACAGTACAAAGGAAATAGAGCTGTTGATTTGAATGTCTGTTAGCATATTTCAGGGATCTTTTTTCATGAAGGTAGCTGGGCTGGGTTACAGCAGGGTAGTGAAAGCTTTGTGTTTGGAGCACAAATAACAGGCTGTGCTGCAAGAGAGTTAATGTTTGCTGTCATGGAAACCTGTTGCCTTGGAACATGATTAATGACACAGGCTAAGGGAAAGGAAGAAGCTATTCTTAAAATTAGTGTTAAGCAAACCCTAAGCAAGACCAGCAGTATACAATACTATGAATTTTTGTTATTTCAGATTCTGTTGTCTAGTTCACTTAACCTTGTCTTTTAATTGACTTATGCAACAGCTCTTATAACCACATTTCTGTGTAAAGACAATCATTCAAAGCTAATCTTTTGGCTGACTAGAAATAAATAGCATGTTACTTACACTCCCAGTACACTACAAAACTCGTTCAGTTTTTGTGGAAAGGACACACTGAAGACAAACTTGTGGCTGGTCTGGAATGCCCCAGTAGGCCAGGGGATAGTAGCAGTTTAGCTGAGGATTTTTGCCTTTTGACTGTAGTTGTAGGTTTCAGAGTAGGAGTAGGGAACATTTCTGTGGACTTAGCCATTTGGAGAAATCTGGTTACTGCTGTGTGTTGGTGTGGGAAGATTGCTATAATGCTGAAAGGAACATACAAAAGGTGTTTTAAAGGTGATGTCACCTTTCTGCCATCTGAGAGTTCTTTCTTCTGGAGTTCCTGCTCCAAACCCAATATGTATCATTACACACTAGATTCTGCAATGGAGAATAGAATGGTTTTTTTCCTGCAGAGGTAAATTTGTGTGTCTTTTCTAAAAAACAGTGCTGAATGTAGAATCCCTAGTTTACACAGGGTGACAAATTAATTACAGCTTGCTGTGAATTTCAGCTGCCCTCTGGACCAGGATCTTGCATGAATAAATAACCAGCAGCTCTAAATCTCCCTGCCTTGTGGAGACCACACTTCAGGGCCCTCCTCCATGCTCACAGTGAGAAGTCAGCTTTAGCTGAGCTGAGCCAACAACGGCAAGTCACAGGGGAGCATCTTCACAGAAGTTTCAGGTGAAAGAATATTTATCCAGAGGGCTTAGGGTGGGGTTCTAGGTGAGTATTATGCTGGATAACATCTCTGAAGGCACAATCTGACAATGCAGCAAGAAGGAAATATTCTGGGAAATTGAACAAGGAGCTGGCTGAATTTGTGAA